CGTGTAGAAAACGACCTGATTTTGAAAATTCAGCATGGTCTACAGGGGTTTATAGTTAAAAATATCGAATGTGAGTCAAAGGAGGCAAACGATCGTACTGGATAGCACTACCGCCTGTGGTTTTTAAAGCAGCGATTATCCGGGTTAGATCTCCAGACATCAGCAGTTACACGGACTAATAAGTGGAGATAAATAATGCCCTTGGCAGTGAATGCGTTATTTGGAGCCACGAAAGGAACGAGCTGAATACGCGAATCTCACACGAAAAACTAAGCTTTGCTCTCGCTGCTCGTATATTACGAGCCTTTGCTAACTAAAACGGCACAGCCTGTGTTTCTGTGTTTTAGTCATTTCAGTCACTTATGATGCTCAATTTTGCTGTTATGATCAGGTTTTAGAAGTAGCGCTAATCCACCCCCACCCCACTCCCAAGAAAAGTAATTTCAAAAGTCGTGACGGCTAATACTTCCGAAAGCAGAATGCAATCTGCACTGTATTGAGAGACACTAGCCTGCGAGCAGGCATATATCGGAGAACAGAAAGTGGGAACGGAGAAAGGGAATTAGAAGTGCCACCCAAGCCTGTTCGCCTTAAAAGAATCTACCTGGACATACTCAAAAAAGCCATATCACCATTAAAACGGATGAGCTCTGTGCTGCCGTAACTGAGGATCATGTATTAAATGTTTGTTAAATTTTTCATACAAAATGTCGTGCTGCTCTTGAGAGATATCGCAATAACTTTATAAGGAAGTGAACATGTTTGATTTGCACTAACAAGCGCAACTTAAAGATATTAAGAGTGCAACTTCAACAAGTAAGTAATAACTGTCTGACAATTTTTTGACGCCTTCAACGACACAGGCAAATATTGAACCTCCTCAAGATATATGATTGTAAAGTTTTACAGTAATCAAATGAGAAGGACTGTCTTCAAATATGGCCGGGATAGGAAATTGAACGGCAAATTTGGAAAGAAAATCTTAAGCCTATATAACAGAAATTTTAGATTAGAAAAATTAAAGAATGAAACAAATGTAACTAAGCCTTTACTTTCATAGAGTAAGTTTGTCACTTTTGCTAAGCGATACGAAGCGTTACTGAAAGCAGGTAGCTTGCGTTACTCGAAAAAATAATATGCAGAATTTAAAACATGATTATCTTCGGCGGTCCAGCTTTAACTGCAGATAAACGGTTTCTTAGTTTTGAGTATTTATCTTTGCTCACGTTTAGATCACAGGCGGCCCAAGCTCACAATACGAGGAGTTATTATTATTTTTAAATCTTTATGCGAACATTCAGCGCGCGAAACGTGACACAGTTACCGCCGAAATCTACTATTACCTAACGACCGAGTTTGGTTACGCGAAACGTGACCTTCGCCTTGCAGCATATGGTGGTGTTGTGTTACAACGGTTTGAATTTATAAAGGTTTGTATGGGGAAAAACGGTAATCAACATTATAGCTGAAATTTTGGTATTTTTGCAGTAAAAATGGCTTACCTCAATGTCTTGTTGTCTTTTCTATTGTCATCTCGCTTCTCAGCTCGATCCGAAGCCTTTTAAGCGAGTTATCGCTTTTTGGTTTTCCTCCACTAAGAAAGATCTCACAAGGACACTGGGAAATTAAAATCTTTTCTATAGCAGCAGAAGGAACGTAAGTAACGGTGAGTCGTTGTTTCCTGTTTTAAACCGTTGCCTTCCAAAGAATAACCTTGTGATTTGCATAAAATTGAACTCGCTTACATGCCGTAACATTTTATTTTACTGACGGAGAACATTTTAATTCCCAGAGCTATAACTTTTCGGGTGAAAAAAACAATAACCAAGGTTTCCTAAAATATAGATATTTTGACCAAATGATATATACCAGAGGCCATTTATACTAGTCAAAGTTGGCCTTTATTTGTTCCTTGCCAAGAAACACAAATGGCGGCTGTACAAATACGCTTCGTTGCAAAGCCACAAACAAAACTTCAAGAAACTTATTACACGATTTTAAAGTGTAAGAATGAGATAATATTTGTGCCAAGTTTTGTTTTCATAGGATTGTTTTTACGCCCCCGCTGTTTTCGTAAAGAAGCGTGAAATTCTGAACATTTTAAGCCGCGAAAACCGCCATTATATGCAAATTTCGAACTTTCTTAAATTTTGGCCGTAAAATAAATCGTTGGAACTTTAAACTATTTTTCCATGAATAAGTTAACCCAAAGGTATGTTTTGGCGAAATGAAAGAAAAATCGATTTTTTGTGACTGTCTTCCGATTCTCGACAGTCTCAGAAAATCCCTCTTAAAATGTAATGACCTCAAACTTAATTTGTCTTATTATTATTGCGACAAAAACCAGACTGGGGGACCTTGTTCCTAGTATCATGATTTTGCATCCTGCTGATGCCCCAAAATACTACCTAAAAATGAAAGAGTACATTCAAATTTGCTGTCAAGCGCCCCAAATAATAGCAATCTGGAAATAGATATTTGTAGCTTTCAAATGCATTTATTTTAATTAAAACTTTAAAAATTAAGAAAGATCGGAAATAACAGATGCAGCAGGCTGTTTTTGATAGTCCAGAAAGAGAGAGCGCATTATCTTGTTCAATAGTGTATACATCTATGATTTTACTATGTATCAGCTCAGACATGGCCCAAATTTCAGATACCTGAAAGAAGTGAACCCTCCCCCCCCCGCCTTCCAAACGTCGAGACCATGAGGGGATAACATTAACCAAATGATAAAAATAACGAGGACTTTTCGTTCAGAATTAGCCACTGTAAAACGCGAAGACACCGAGAGGAAGAGGGGTTCTCATCTCGCAGTCCGTGTGCGACCGTTACATAGGACAGTATGTCATTGACTTCCCAGTCATCATTTGTTTTGTCCCCAGTAACGGTCCCACAAGCGACTGCGAGATGAGAATTGCTCCGGGGTTTTTCGTCCTGTCAAAAAGGCTGATTTTACGCAATAATGACGTCTTGCGAAGCAATAGCATCACGAGGTAAATTTCTTGACCAAACTGTCTCTACCTGTGTGAAACATTGAATTAATTTTTTTTTTCAGTTCTCTCATACCAAACATCATAAACGAATTGTACCGTGAGTAAAACAGGTGGAAATGTGTATCGAGAATGCATTTCATGCATTTTCGTTATATTAATTACTGAGCCCATTTTACGGCTTTGAATTGTGTCGGTATGTTGCTTAGGTTAGAAGTCTTCTCGTTTAAGTATATTAAAAATATATTCTAGTTATGCAACGCTTTCGAGTGGTATACCTTGGAATATCCCACGAGCCACTTGTAATTTATCGGTATACACACGAACCTTTAGGCCAACTCAATCAATTGGACATACGCGCAGTGCATGACGGGAAGGTTGAGTGTAATACCGTCGAATATACAACAGCTTTCCTGTATTTTGATCGGCTGTATTTTCATTTTCTACGGCATGGTATATCTATCTATCTATCGATCTATCTATCTATCTATCGATCTCTCTCTCTCTCTCTCTCTCTCTCTCTCTCTCTCTCTCTCTCTCTCTCTCTCTCTCTATCTATCTACATATATATATATATATAATTATGTATATATTCACCTTACCCTCGGTAAGTATGGTGGGTATATTCACCTCGGTGTGTCGAGCGTACATGTCCCTACCAAGTGTAGGTACGTTTCCTTTCTTAATTACATCACAATTTCTGAAATATTATAAACTCCACAACTCTCGGAGACACAGCTATAATCTATTAATTTCAAGTCAATTTTTTTAGCGACTTTTCGAAGACTTGCTTCCACTTTTGTATGTTTCTTAAATAAAATAATTACATCAGGCATTGAATCTCCCACGAAGTCCGTTTGCTTATAGACTAATTAACTGTTCGGCCCAGGTTTTCCCTCATCAACGCCATATAAGTTTGTGCAATGAATGATAAATTTGGAAGTGTTGATACCACAACTGAAAAACTGAAACTATATTGATTTTCTGAGCCCTTTACCCTTACCCTTGTCAAGAAGTAGTCTTTGATGTCTTTACAGTCATCTGGTAAGTCAGTCATGACGTCTCTTAGAAGCCAAATGAAGTGTGGAAACGTCTTTTGAAAAACATCTTCATTTTTGATCGACCGAGATCCACCTCCTGATATGGCCTGAATTTGTTGCGACAATCTTAAAACAAAGCTGAAATTGAGTTAAGGTTAGTAGATATTTATTTTTGTATCAGCATCATAACTCTATAGAAATACATCACTATTGAAAAAACAAGTAGTACCATATTACTTTAATATGGACTCTTTTGGGGTAGAGCCGAGTGCTAGTTTCTAGAGATCTTTTGAGCTTTTTGATGAGTCCGTCGCCTCTTCGTTGATGTTTTTCTCAGACGTCAATTTCGCGAAAAAGAATCATCATTATATATTTTGGGTCGAAAATACAACCCACACTTAAAAGAGGCACTAAATTTCCTTTCAAAAACTGTTTAAAAAGATCCTCCCAGATCCAGCACTGTCCATGCCATAGATCATGAACGCGTATGAATTACAAATGGCCTTGTCCAGTCCAGATTAATACGTTGTTGTAGCCAAGCGCAAATTTGCTAATGGCTTTCCCAGTGTCAGTTTCAGTCACCAAAACCTGCAGTGATTAATTAACAGGGAAGCCTCGCGTGTTTCAACGTCTCCTCCGACAGTAGCGAGAATCTTCTGAGTGTTCTCGTGACATTCGTAATAACTGAAAATATCGAATACATGAACTAGCTTTATCACAATTACCACCACCACCACACTCACAACTATCTCCATCATCTAATGAATGTTTAGCTTACAAATTCACAGTCTTGATACGAGCCAAAACATGGTAAAACTGCTGACATCCTACATGAAAGCATGGCCAAATCGAAATTTATTCAATAATAAAATAAGATGCAAGTACATGTATATAACTTCCGGTAGCTACAATAATAAAATAAGTCCGCAATGCGTACTAATGAACTTATGCTTAGTTTTATTCCATTCGGTTGGAGTTTGTTTTTAAAAGTCAGTATCTGGGAGTTATATTGCTACAAGTGAGAAGGCAATCACTGCAAAGATAAAGGTGTTACTTTGAAACTGGAGACATTGAACTCGTGGTAGAAAACTTGTGGCCCCTTGGTCGCTTCCTGGAGGTAAAACCAAACAAGAGAGACGGGCTTGTGAGGAGAGTCAGGCTGAAAACCAAGTCCGCGGTCCTGGAGCTTCCCATCGACAAGATCGTACTTCTAAACATTGTTGATCTTAATGACCTCAAAAGAGTGCGAGAAGTTTCTCTTTTGCTCAGAAATCCGTAGAGAAGAACGCAATGAAGAGAGCAAAACAAGTGTGACTGCGAGTGTGACATTGGGTGACATTTTGTGCGTTGTTTTGATGGAGGGCAAGATTGCTTTTCCCGAAGTGCCTTACGAAGGTTTTCATAAGCAAATTTTACTTCAACACAGGACTCGAGAACGAGGAAAAGCTTGTGACGTGGTCGTCAAAGAGCACTAAATTATTGATTTCCCTACGACGAGAGAAAACCGACCTCTTCGACAATGACAAAGTACGAAGAAAGGTTACATGGGATAAAGTTGCAGAGCAATTCAACGGTAACTCGTCGGTGAGAGTTACAGGAGAACAGTGCGCCAATAAATGGAAAAAATTAGAGGAGAAGCACAAAAAAGTAAGAGAGCACAACGCCAAAACAGGGAGTGATAAGAAGGAGAGCGAGTTTGAAGACGAGCTAGCAGAGTTTTTCCTAAGTGACCCAAAAATTATTCCACCGGCCACTGTTTCCTCGTTGCCTACAGCAAGGGCAGGCTCTCAATCCACGGATGAAGACGAGGAATCAACCTTGGCAAAAGCAGTTCCAAAGAAAAAAAGGAAACGAAGGTCGAAGTCGTCGGCCGCAGAGATAATCGAATTTCTGACAGAATTTAAAGAAGAAAAGGGGAAAGAAGAACAACAAAAGTTCGACCTTGCTGAAAAGATGCACGAGGAGAAAATGGGCGTTATGGCTCGATTCCTGGACATTCTGTCAAAGAAGAAAGCCTAAAGTATAAAAGCTGAAGCGTTTTTTTTTTTTACTGTCAATCAAACACGCACGCATTAAGGAAAAAACAATTTTTGTTTTCCACGTTTATTGATTTGTTGTTCATGTTTTTCAGTATTCATGGAACAACTCTCTTCAGAGACTGTTTCCACCTTTGGAAAATTTCTGTTTTACACTTGTGGAGTAGGAAAACGCTTAAATATCCTGCCTATTTTCCGGTCAAAAGTGTGTCTAGTTGTAACCCCGCGGTGCGACCTCCAAACTTTGAGCATTTCGTCTCGGTTTACGTTAGCATGGCTTGTTGGCATATACATTTGAATAAGGTAAACCTTCTTCGAGAAATTTTGGACTTCCCTCAGTTTTAACCTCTTTGATAGAAGCTTATCTTCCGTACGATAATAATCTTAACTTTTTAGATCAAAGTAGACCAAGTGTACATGTTCTTGTTTATATTTAATTTCTTGCTTGTACTTACCTTGCTTAAGCTCACTAAAAATAAAAATGTACACCTTTTAAGCTTTTATTCTGTTTTATACCTTGTGTCCACGAGATTGAGCTTTTTGAAACGCTTTTTTAAAAATATATTACTTTCTGTTTTCCTCTAGTAGTTCATAAGTTGAGCTTGTGTTTGCTTGCCTCCTGTTTCAGGGGAAACATTCAGAATTGTCAAATTATGAAATTTTGAGTTGCATGATACAAAAGTGGGAGTGCATTTTCCTCTGAAGATTTTCAAACAGTTTTCATGATTTTGTTTCCTGGGAACAATTTTAGGTGTTCCAGATGTGATCTACCCTGCAAGTTTTGTTGACCTCTTTCACTGAAAACTTGTGATTTAAAAAAGATGTACCCTTTATGTTTTCACGTCACATTTTTATGTACATTCCTTTGTTTTGGCCTAGGCTATGAACATAAACGTTGTTTGCTTAAGTTTGTTGATAATCATATCATTCATATTAATTTCTATACATTGACATTGGAAATCAAAAAGTAATAGTGTTAGGAGCTTTCATACACACAACTTATGACAGTTTTTCATATTCTCTTTTTCGATCCACTTTTTATAAATATCACTGTGTGCCATGCAAGTGTGTCTTGTTCTCAGTTGATAGTGACAAGTTATGGGGAATGATGAGGCTATGTTTACATACAGTTTGCGTTTAATTACTCGTTAAGCTGACTCCGGAGAATCACTCAAGGGTGTACAACATCTTTCAGTAAAAAGTTGTTTCTTCAAGTGACATGAAATAGCTGTATGCTATATTTTCCTGCCATTCCCTTGTTAACAAGTTTCAAACCTATATCAAACAAGGTAATCTGTTAATAGTTTTTGAAAAGAATCCTCTTTTCCATTCCATCTTTGTGTGGTCTTGACGTTCAACAAAGAGGGAATAAGTATTTATAACAAAATCATTGAGTATGTTACTTGGACAWATATTTGTAAGSTGGTATTGCTCTCTTAATTTGTGAAATGTAATGGTGGTGGGAATATTTTATAAATTGTATGCAATGTACATTAGCTACTAACTCTTGGTCATCATACCTTCATTCCTTTTTATCAGTAACATTTTTTTTATATTTTGCTTCCATTTTCTTTTTTTATACAGTACTGTTTTCAGTCTAGCAACAAGCTAACTGTTTAAACAAACTTATTGATCTGAGAAATAAAAACTATATTAAGTGGTCAAGAAAGATGACCATTTGATTTCTCTTGGCAACTGCTGCTGGTCTAGGAACTGGAAAGTGGAATTCAGATTGGTCATCATCACCATCACCATTATCATCCAGATCAAGGAATTCTTCAATGCTTCCTTCATCTGCAATCAGGCAAAAATTGTGTAAAACACATGCCGCAGAAATGACTGATGGAACCTCCTGGACATTTTCCATCTCTATGTACTTTAGCCTTCGCCACCTGCCCTTCAGTAACCCAAATGCTCTTTCAATTGGTTGGCGTGTTCTGGTGTGCTTTTCATTATAACAAATCTGCGCCCTTGTTAAATGACCATTATCTCGGAATGGTGACAGCAACCACCTGTCAGAAAAAATTAATGATACTGTGATATAGCAATCACCAGATAATCATGGTTTGTGAGCTAAACTGCAAGTATTGTTTTTGATTTGTGTATATTGTAACATAGCACCATATCTGTGTTAAAAGGAAAATGTTTTGTTATTCATTATTAGCTATTGTAAATACAATAGCAATAAATATGCAATAAGGAATACTTTTATCACTTAAGACAACTAACACAAAATCCACTGAAATTATGTACTGGTAGATAAAAATGCACCTTTGAAGTGGATATGCTGAATCCCCAAGAAGATGGGTGTCACCTTGAAATAATTCATGCTCAGCTGACTGATACAGTGGCGAATTTCTGAACACCCTAGCATCGTGCACTGACCCAGGACACCCCACATATATATCTGTGAAACAGAGGGTGTGATCACATGTCCCCTAAAATTAAGAGGTTATAGGTTTTAGCACAGTACAGAAAACTGTCTATGTTAAGGACACTATCACTCAAGTCTATGATGATGCTTTGAAGAAACAAATGCATGAAACTTTTTTTTGAGATTCAGCTTAGTGGTGTGTGGAAAAATTCAGACAACTCATGTTGATTTAACTGCTACTGTAAGCCATATTGATGGCTGATAAAATAGATGTTGGCTGTTAGAACAGTTGCAAAGTAGCCTGGAAAAATTCTGGGCATCAATATCATTCATGACCACTGCACCCAGGTGGTTGTTAGTACTCCCTTATACAAGCTCTGAAGGTATGTGCAGCATCAATGGATTTCTGAAATGTTTTGGTCTGAAATAGCAAAAAGATTTGGACCAATTTCTTCTGAAGTAGGGTATGGTTTGTGCACTCTGGTCACCAACAATTTTCATCACGTAAAATGTTTGAAAGAACTTTTTGTTGTGATTATTATTATTTATCATAGGCGTACGGGCACCTTCGGACTTAAGGAGGAGATGATCTTCTTGCCCGAAAAATTTATGTGATGCCCGAATGCGAGAGTGTTGAAATCGGGATAAAAATGCACTCAAATTGCATGAAAAACAAAAATGTTCACAATTACCACATCTAACGAAACTGCTATAATTCCAAAACTAGTTATATTCAAAGGTTACATAATCAATCAATCATCAACAGTCTCTATCAACAGTCTCAATCCGAGTAAAATCTAAAACTTATTAAACGAAAAAATTCAGCTTGTACGCCCATGTTATTTATCCCTTGAGAAGAGCAATTTAGGATTTCGGGAGTCAATTATTTGAAACCCTTGTCTGCCTGGTCAAATGATCACACAGAATTATCTAAAGCAGTTCCTGGGCACAATCTGGTATGAATTCGGGTACAGATTATGGTATCAGATCTGAAATTGGTTGCAAATTAAAAAAAAGAAATCAAAATATTCCACCTTCTAACAACAGCTTCCAATTTTACAATATCAACCATTATGAACAAATTAGAGCAAAAATGATAAATAACTTATTAGAGTTTTTAATGTCTTCAACAGTTATACTGAGTGAAGTCATCCACATCAGCACAAAAACAGACATTTCTGGTAGCCATGAAATTAACTTGATACTATCCGTGATAAATCTTTCATTGTGGTACTATAACTTTCATTATTCTATTAATTTACCTGAAGGATAATTGAATGACTTTTCAGTCGATTAAGATATGATTGCGGATGCTGGGAAGGCGTCTTGATATGGATGTGGCAGCCATCAATAGCACCAACAACTCGTGGAAAACCACTCAAACGTTCAAAACCCTCTGCTACCTCTACAGCTTTAGCACCTTATTCAAAAGAGAAAAAGACTTACAAATTGACTTCAACCAAAACGTTTTTAAAATAGGTTTATACACTAAGAACTATAGAATCAACACCATAGCAATCTGGCGAGCTATATCACATCACTATAACAATAACGAAAACTGTATAGGTTTGTATTGTTACATTATAGCATGATTTTTATAAGGCTTAAACTAAAACAATTTGGAAATAACAATTTGTTTCAGATTGGCGTTTGTTCAGTCTCATTTCGTACCTCTATGTTGACATATTTTAATACGTGACTGCAGTTGCATGCACACAAAATGTCACAGTTTCATTAAATATTAATTATCGTAATCTCGACATACATTCATTTTAGATCATCTATGGTTTTTTTGTAGCATAAAAACCAATATTACAATGTTACCTCTGGCCACTGAATAAGGTCTATGCGAACATCCACAAGAGCTCTTACAACCCTTCCAATGCAACGCGACACACTTGACATTGTAATGTCGAAACGATCAGATATTTGACAGCAGGTCTCTTGGTTCGCCAGGGCCCATACAGTCACAGCTATTTGTTTCCTTGCTTCAATGGGCCGCCTGCTGTAATGATCAGCGGTATTTCGTATTAGTACAAAGTACAGACATGCGCATTGTACCAGGACTCGGTAGCCACGTTGGAATAAAAACTTGGATGTTGTTTACTGGAGCTGTGTTTATCCGAATCCATCGTGCTCTTAGAACAAGATTATTACA